AATCTGGTTTATACTAAAAAAGACCCACTTTTATTTAAAAGAAAATCTTTGATTTTACTTAGTATATAAGAGAACTAAATTCTATTAAAAAGTAGTTTCTTCCGTTACATAGATACGCTTGGAAAAGAATAAAATTAGTCTTTGGTTTTATAATATGGGAAAAACAACACACAGTCCTTTAGTCAAACAACTTTGTGGTATTTATATTCCATTGCACAGATATGAGTTATACAAATTAGTAACACAAACTAGTTTTTAAATTTCAAACATTTTCTAAAATATTATTACAGTAAGTGCCAGGGATATTAAAACATCAAGTTGGAAATCATAAGCTAAAGAGTTAAATATGACACTGAAAATACTGAACATTAAAGAGGAAAATGAAAATGCTGTGCTCAAATGAACTAACATACTAGGTAGGAGGGCAGCTAGCAACTACAATTCAGTCACTGTGGTCCATTGTTAGGTATGAATAGACAAATATGATTATACTTTAGATAACCCTTCTCTCCAAGATGCATAATCAAAACAAAAATCTGAAGAAATGATTTAAAAGAAAGTTTAATTCTTAAGACCTAAGATCTATGGTGAAATGTACTATATTTTCTATGGTTTCATATAATTACCAATGCAAATATAAAAGACACCACACTTAGAAAGAAAAGAAGATTTTTAAAAGGTAATGGTTTTAATTGAATGAATGAGATGAAAAGATTATGAGCCCTGTTTGCTACTTACATGAAAGAAGATTTTTTAAAAAATAATCACTGCACAAAATACAAAGGATGGGGTTATGTGGCTGTATTTAATTCTTCTCGGTACTGGTTTTCTTGATTGTTCAAGAGCAAATTAAAGTTTCCACCGCAAATTTGTTTTCAAAGTGCCGAATTGCAACACAGTTGCCAGCTTCACGTTTCTGAATACCTGTTTGAGAGGGAAACGCTTTTCATTTTTGGCTCTCTAGTGATAAATATTCACATTAATCCTTAATTACTACAATATATTCCATATCCTATGAACTTCTATGTTTTGAATATTTTACACTGGAGAAATTTTTCATTTGTTTCATAAACATCTTAATAGACCTTGTTGTTGTTGTTAAGTACTGTGGAGTTGGTTCTGACTCATAGTGACCCTAACACAGGGTTTCTGAGGCTGTAAATCTTTACGGGAGCAGAAAGCCTTTTCTTTCTCCCATGAAAACGGCTGGTAGTTTCGAACTGCTGACCTTGAGATTAGCAGCCTGATTCGTAACCACTATGCTACCAGAGCTCCTTTATAATAATATCATACAGATTATAGGAAGTCCCACACCTTTGAGCCTTTTCTTGCACTAACCTACCCACCACTGTCAGGTACAACTCACTGTGAACAAGACTGTAAACCTTTACAGGAGCATACAGTCTTATCTTTCTCTCACAGAGTGGCTGGTGGGCTTGAATCTCTGACCTTGTGGTTACAAGTCCAATGCCTAACCCACCGCACCACCAGGGGTGTCTTCCTTGCACTAAGGAATCCTCAATAAGAACCAATGCACCTGGTCCAACTGGCCTACAAGTTTTTAAAGACACAGTTAGGAATGGATCTTGTTTGTAACCTGGGATTGCTTGCACTTACAATCGTGATTATGAATTTGAAGGTATTAGAAATGTCCTATACCTTGACTGGTAGGGATTATATGACTATGTATATTTTGTCAAAACTCACAACTGTAATCCAAAATGGGTGGATTTATTTGTATGTATGCTGGTGTGGCACTGGACTCTGGACTGAAAGGTCAGTTTGAACTGCAAGGTTGGCGGTTCAAACCCAACAGCCACTCCTCACATATCCTACACAGGGTCCCTGTGAATCAGAACTGACTCGACTGCACTTAACAAAAATACAATGAAGTGAAACAATGAACTTGTCTATCAACACTTAAACATTACCAGTATTACCTTTAATAGTGTCTCTGCGTTGCAGTTTGTAAGTTTCCTTGTCATGGCACAGTCGATAAATAAACAAACCCAGGTGATCAATATTTTCAATGCGATCAGTGATAACCATATGCTCATGAATCAGATAGGACTGAGGCAAATAGGTTCCAGCCTACATTTGGGAAAGAATGCGTTGTGTAAATATCTCAAAAGAGACATTGAGCAGATAGGGAAAACAAACAGAACTCTTAGAAATGATCATTTATTACAGAAGTTGCCTAACTACTGGCCACCGTCTGTTCTTCTAGTTCGACTGAAGCACAGTCATGCCGCCCACCCCCCCTTTCCAGATTGTCCGTGGCTGGAGTGTTGAGAGCCATAAGGCAGTAGACCTTAAGGCTTAAAAGTCTAACATTTACTCTCAAGCCCATTAGAGGAATTCGAGACTTCTTAAGAACTTGTTAAGAAAACTTTTGCCAACTAACTCCTGCTTATCAATCAATGTGTCAATGTGTGTCCATAGTCTCTTAAAATTTTAAGATATGAAACATTAAAAAAATCTCTAAGGCAAAAACCACAAAGAATGACTCATTAGATTCCAAGTTTCAGTTCCTCTTTGTAAAATTCTTAAGCTGCATTTCTCAACTGAGAATTTCAAGACACTAATGCAGCATCAAATGAAAATAAGTAAACATGTTTATACCTTGATATTGATGAGTAATTCCAATAGATTTCTGGGGGGCATAACAATTGAAGTGTTCAGAGGGATCACATAGCACTTATCCAGGTTAAGATCTAAATAGGCCGTGAGTTTCTGGGAAGAAAAAGATATATTCAGTTAAGACTGATATTTCTAATACAGGCAGCAACTAGATCATTAAGAATAATTTGTACCACTAAAATGGGCAGACTTTAGGATGTATAAATCAACAAACCAAGAATTTGGTAGGATAGAGATGGAAGTAATTAGAAAAGGTAGAGGAAAAATGATTGGTATTAGGAATTGACAATCACGGAGCCCTGGTGTGGCACTGAAGAATTAGCACAGGAGCTCAAGACCAATTTGAGCAAGGCCACTGGTTCAAACTCACCAGCTGATCCTCCAATCCCTACACAGGGTTGCTATGAGTCCGAACCAACTCGATGGCATTTAACAGCAACATTAGAGAAACATGTCCTTGCTATGATGGCCAATTGTTTTTTCTGACTGACAGCAACCCTGCATAGGGTTTTATGGCTGGTGGATTTGAACTGCTGGCCTTGGGTTCGTGGTTCAACACAACAGGAGTCCTGTTTCTGTAATAAATGACAGCAATCCTTCCTAATATCTTCTAAGGCAAGTACCCACAGGCTATATAATAACTAACTTCCCTTCTATGCTTCTATAATAGTACTGTTGTTGTAGTTGTCATTAAGTGCCGTCAAATTGGTTCCACCCATAGTGAACCTGTATAGTGTTTCTAAGGAGCGGTTGGTGAGCCTGAACTGTCAACCTTGCAGTTCAAACCGACTTTGCAGTCCAGGACTGCGTAATAGTCTAGGTACTACCAGTATTGGAGAATTAAGAAAACAGTCACTTCAGTAACTTTCTATGTTCTGTGGTTCAGATGAAAAATTCAGCTGAGAATGACTGTCTTAGGATCCGTCTCAAGGATTAAAATGAGTTTAACCATGTAAATGTTTAGATTTTTAGGAATTCAATACATGTTAGTCTTATTATTTCCTATTTGCTTTGCATAAAGTATATATTTTGAAGTGTTATCTACTAATATGACACTGACTTTAAAAATATAGAAAAAGAGCTTGTTACTACCATATATCTTCTGGCAGAATATTTCAAAATTAGTTATACAGATTATTTTTATAAGCTCTACTTGTCAACTGTTTCTCCAAATTTTAAAAAGTTAAAACACTTGAAATAGGCATAAAAAACAGATTTACAGTTATTCACCAGATGTACAAAACATATGCAAAGCACTGGGGTATGTTTCAATATTCAAAATGACAAACTTGTAGAGACATAAGAACCAGATACAATATGTATACTTCCAAATCTGGTTTTGAAAACAAAATTCTTGGTACAATTGGGAAAACACAGTATGAACCAAGTGTGAAATTATTATGTTATGTTAATTTTCTCAGCTGTGGAATGATATTGTAATTATGTAGAAAACTTAACATACTCATTCTTAAGAAATCTTGGCTGGAGTATTTAGGGATGAGGTGATAGATGAGAGAAAACGCAATGAGGCAAATATGGGAACATTCTGAATCCAGGAAGAAGACATTGAGGGATATTCACTGTATATTGTTACTTCAACTTTTCTGCGTTATATAAAAATGTTCAAAAACTGGAGGGAAGTATAAAGGAGAAGTCAAATAGATTAAAATGATGCAAAACTAATATGGAAACAAATAAACTCTTCTGTGTACAAAATGAAGGAGCATATAAGAAATAACAGTCATTTATACAAGCAAAGGAGGAACCACCACGTAGACAAGGCAAGGGTTGATCAGATTGGGAGCAGCCTAGGTTTGTTCACTGGATTGGCTTTAGATAATCAAAATGAAGCCAATTAACTGTTGCCAGTTTATCTTGCTGGAAAACATCCAACTCCATTTAAATAAAGTATTATTAAACTAGCAAATACAGAAATTAAAGTGAAAAAATGCATTCTTTTCACGGCCTGGACACCTGACTCACCTTGTTGAAATCATGAACAATGTTGGCAGGATCGCTATCAGCAAACTCTGGTACAGGCACACTGATGAATTCCACCTCTTCTTCTTCAAAGATCTTAATGTTTTCCTCAATGGTTTGGTAGCGAGCAGCTGGGACATCGGGAGAAGCTTCATTTAAGATGACATCATCTTTGATGTATTTTATTCCACAGTAGTACACGTCATCCGGCTACAAAGAGTTTAAACACTATTTCAGCCATTCAGTGGGAGGCAGGTTTTTAAATCTAAGTATTACTTAAGCTGTTACCTCTATCTAAATAGCATTTTGCTTGCAAACTCTTACTTTCAGATGACAAGACAGACAGTTTAATTACGGAGTTAACACATTCTTTAAGACCAGATTTTGAAGTATTGTAAAAAACCGTTTCAGAAGAAAGACAAAAGAAGCTGAATGTCTGTCTTTCTACTTTTTATGGCTGACAAGTATAGAATATAAAAGCAATTATCCATCTGGTGACAAGTAAATCTGAAGAAATACATAAGCATCCTTCTACCTGTAGGCATTTCTTTAATAAAAGACTTTCAAGAACCTAATAATGTTTTCCTGAGGGGGAAAAAGAATAGATAAATGTTCTCTTCCATTAGTCACAACAGGGATAGTTTTTTTGAAATCTCTAACAGCATGTACACCGCTTTGATTTCTCCTTAAAATTGTTAATTCTGAGCGAAGTAAGCGGGACACAAAAGGACCAATGTACCATCCATTTTTTTCAATCAGACAGTACACAGCGATCAGAGCAAGGAGAGAGTTACTATGGAAGGACACTACGTTTCTATTGGAGGAGTCCTGGTGGCGCTGTGGATTAAGCACTGGGTGTTTCAAACCCACCATCCACCTTCAAGACAAAAATGAGGCTGCCTGTATCATTAAAGACTTGCAGTCTGGGAAACCGCCTACGACAGTTCTACTGTGTTGATACAAGTCACAATCGACTCGATGGCAGTGGGTTTTGGGTGGAGTTTCTTTTAAGGATGATGGAAAAATCTGGAAACAAACAAGTTGTTATAGTTGCACAACATGGTGAACATAAATGTCATTCAGCTTGTTTATATATATATATGTATGTGCTTGTTACCACACACAAAAAACATCACTTAAGTGGAAAATATCAGAAAATCTTCGTAGTATGGTCTCATTTTTGTTATTTTTTAAAAAGTATATAAAGACTAGAATTTAGCATTAAGACACAAATGTTACCTCTGCACAGTGGAATTCCAGATGAGGTTTTTCTACATTACATATTTATTTCTTATAAAATATTTCATTAAAAGATGACTACATTTTAATGGGTGAATCTAAGGCTATTTCCTGTGGCTGGTGTGATCTAATAATTGCATGCATTTTTTTTACGTAAATATTTATTATCTTACACTCAGGGAGAATAAAGTACTTATCTTGACAAAGATAATGTGAGGTCCGAGAGGTACACATCCTCTAGCAGAATGCGTCAAAATTCTTTAAAATATTTAAATATAATCTAGTTATCGAGAGAAATAGGCCAGAAAACAAAAGCTAATAAAAAAATCTATGTCTTGGGATTGCTATTAAACCTCAAACAACTTTTGCCCCAAGTTACTCCACTTTCACCGCTAAAGTCACAGGTTCTTTAGAAGAAACCGTGAGTGGGAAAAAGGCCGAGGGACAAGTTGCCAGTGTTCTCTGGGCCCAAGAGAACAGACAAATGTGGGAGCCCAGGCTGACAATCAAGACTGGTGATTGATGTACGAAGCGAACGGTTCACTGAAAAAAAGTTCACTACCTTTTCATTCCATCTGCCACAAACTTACTAAAGCCCCCTCTTATTCATTCAACTGTTAATTAATAAAACTAGACCTCCTAGGTATTAATTATGGTAGAAAAATGAAGGTTAGTCAATTTTCTAGATAACAAACAACAATATATACCCTTTAGTCAGCAGCATTTCAAATAATGTTAATCTGCTTTTAGAGACTGTCTGAAATGTTCATGAAACAGTACTTAGAATAGTACTTAAAACTTCTCCACTTACTTGAAGAGCAAAGTATTTGTAAAGGTACGCTCCTCCCAGAATGACACCTGCAAGCATAAATGCTAGTCCAAAGCACATGCACCAGCACCACGCTCGTCTTTGGCCAACTGGTACCACTTCATCTGGGTCCTAAAGCAAAAAATGACAGCGTTCAATGTCGTATCGTGTCAGAATACAAGAAAGCTCAGGTTGGAAAAAAATCCTAAGGGTTACAATTCTATCAATGAAGATATAAAGACCAAGGAAAGTCAGGTTTCTATTTAAAATCAGCACAGGAAAGTGTAATGATGGTACCAGGACTCATCACAATCCTCACAAACACACACCATAGTTTTCTACTCAATTTTGAGTGATTAAAGTATCGTCTAACATTGAAAAAGTCAGAAGAGGTTAGAGCAACTCTATTTATTATCTTACACTATCTTATGCAATGCTATGGCACTTATTGTTGTTATGTGCCTTTGAGTCAGTTCCGACTCACAGTGACCCTGTATGGGGTTTCTGAGGAGCAGCTGGTAAGCTGGAACCATCTACTTTGCAGTTCAAATTAACTTTGCAGTCGAGCACATTAACCCGCAGCACCACGCTAGGGCTCCTGGACCCTGTGTATTTCAAAGTAAGGCTAGCTCTTTGGTGGTGGTGGTGGTGGCGTGCCACAGAGTCGGTCCCGGCTCATAGCGAGTCTGTACAGGGTTCCTGAGGCTGTACATTTTTAAGGGAGCAGAAAGCCTTTTCTTTCTCCCACAGAACAGCTGGTAGTTTCGAACTGCTGACCTTGAGGTTAGCAGCCCCACTCGTAACCACTCTGCTACCAGCTCTATAGTACACATTAATAAAATTAAGTACTAGATTGTTGCTGGTAACTTACATTTTATATCACATGTAGACCATCTTAATAACTCATAAGAAAAAAAATCAGAGGAAAATCAAGACATAATAATATTAAACGAAAATTCTCAAAACAATTAGAATCTCAAGAGAATTAACTTACTATCCAGAAGTACTCCTACAATTTCCCTGTCCCACCCTAAAAGGATCCCAGTTCATCTTATTTTGAATACAAAGGTAGTAGCAGAACATGAGGAAAGATTCAATAAGAAATAGATTTATTAAGAAACACAGAAGTAGCATATAATTGTGAGAATTCTGATTTCAATGCACTCATGGAAATAATTTGGATTGGTACATCATCTGGAGTCAGGATATCCTCAATCTGTAGACACTTTCTTTGCCCTTCTAACTCACACCCTTCCGAGTTGCCAAAGTCATTTCTAATTTGCCCTCAGGTTCACGTGTAAAGAGCTGACAAGACAAGGAAGATTAGTTACCCTGCTGATGCCACATAACTACTGACTCATGAACTAGCACTGACAGGAGAGCAATGGTTTCAGATAGCTTGAGACTATCAATAAAAGGTGTTCTAGTTCAGTGTCGATTCCTGGTGTGGCACTGTAGGATCGGCACTGGACTACAAACAACAAGGTCAGCAGTTCAAACCCACCAGCTGGTCCTTGGAAACCCTACACAGGATTGCTATGAATCCTAACCGACTCCACAGCACTCAACAATAGTTCACTGTGTGTGTGTGTACAAATTCGTAAATACCTGGACTCTTTCCACTATGAGATGACTTAAGGTAGGAAGGAGACTTGGCTGAAGTCTTTACAGATGAATACAGTATAAGCAGAAGACAGAAGCAGCATGAAGACAAACCAAACAATCAATTGCATGCACAGAAGCAAGGTGGGTGTATTAGACCAGGAAAACAGACAAGGATAAAACAAGATACTCAGGGAAGAACGAAAGTTAAGACTCAATACACAGGGCTAAGTCAAAAATCATTGCTACTACTGTTCCAATTCATACTTGTGCAGGATTATTCCAAACAAAACATGCTTAAACATGTCTCTGAAATCAGTGGATGGCTGCAAACAAGTTCTCTTAGTAACACTATACTTGTCTTATCCTCGTTAGGGTGCCTTAAAAAAACAAGTGGCTTATGTAGGGTTTCTGCTGGACAGTAAGGTTATGGTGACTGCTTTTTGGGACCACAAATGGATGATATCTTGATAGATTTTTTTCCAGAGGACACAGTGTGATCATGAGGGCTTACTATAAAGTTTTAAGGAGATGGAAAATTACAGTGGTGAAGAAAAACCTGGGCCCACGGATATTACAACAATGCGCCTGCTCATTCTTTATAAGAGGATAGTAGCAAGGCTTGTCCTACATTTCGTTGGAAATCCTTATCCTATATACACCCTTTCAGTCCTGAACTTAGCCCTTTTTGATCCCCAAACTCAAAGAACATTGAAAGGGAACACACTGAGTCCTTGGAGGATGCCAAAACTGTCCTTTTGATGTGGTGTAAATTAAAAAAATGAAGAATTCTTTAGGGAAGGGTTGTTTAAAAAGATGGAATTACCACTTTCAGAAGAATATAGACCTAGATGGAGGATATCAAGAAACTAGTCTCACATTTTTACATTTTTGTTTAATAAGGTTGCTATGATTTTATCGCATAATTTTTTAAATTTTCCCTTGTATAAAGTGATATTGTTGTTGTTAAGTGCTGTTGAGTTGGTTCTGACTCACAGCAACCCTGTATAGGGTTTCCAGGAAGTGGCTGGTGAGTTTGAACCTTAGGGTTCAAACTGACCTTTTGGTCAAGTGCTTGTCCTACAGCGCCACACTACAACTCCAAACAGTGATCTAAGAATCCAAAAAGTGTGCTATATGCCGCTGCAGTAAGCATACTTGTCAATGTATTGTGTCATACTTAAAACAAGTGTACTCTAATGAGGTGTGCTCACCATGGAATGGCCAATCATTCAAAAGAGCAACATCTACTTAAGGACAATATTGAAAGGAATGGGAAGGAGGGTGGGATGGAACTAGGAACCACAGGGAGGAAGCTGGATAACTGTTGTGGCAGGGAAGGGATTGCATTCACTGAGATGAAACCAAGTGCATGATTTGTCCATGTAAAATTGATCTTCTTTGTCAACTTTCACTCAATTCATAATAAGAAGTTTTGGAAAATCTTATTTTAAAGATAAAGGCAGTAGAAGAACAACATGAGGAAAAAACTCAATAAAAACCCTACTTTTTAAAGTTAAGAGGCATGCAACTAAGCATGTAATTGTGAGAATTCTTGATATTCATACACTCATGGAAATAATTTTGATTAGATCATTTCAGGTCATGATATCCTCAGTCCATAGATGTTTCCTTTGCCCTTCTAACTCAAAACCTTCACTCTGGACACTGCATTATTTAATGAAAATAAACCTCAAAGAATTGGTCCGGTCTTACAAGATAACACATCTGTGAAAAACATTACAAGACTCCCACGGAGTCATACAGTATTATGAAACTTAAATGATCAAGCATACATGTTTGGCTTGAGCCTTTGTCTAATATAAACATCGGAGGAGATAAGAAATATTTCCTAGCACAATTAACTTCAGGGTGGAGGCAGGGTGGGGGATGGTAATGGTCATTTCTAAAACATTTGGTATCAGCTGCTGAGACAGCCAAATGTGCGCCCACACCCACCCTGTTTGGCAGGCTTTCCTGGAACAGTACATAAGTTAATAGCCGAAGAGGCCCGGGTAGACACCTCTAAAAGAATATGCAGCCATCACTGTCATTTTAAAACAGGGCTTCGAACCAATTCTTCCCAGTCTTGGCAGAGGAATTGAAACTGAAGAGACCCGAATTTTAAAAAATTTGGGTGAACTGGAATAACCAGAACGGAAAAAATTACAGGTTGACGCCCTGCTAGAAACTCAATATTCCTCTTAGAAAACAAGGGCAGCATACTCATTCATAGCAATCAACTTACTTTCCGGTTGGATTTGGAGCAGAGTCAGACAGAACAGCAGTGCCTTCCTCAAAGATGGCGGCTCTGAATGTGTGGATGTGTCCACAGTCCTGCACAAGTAACCCACTATCAACAACAGGCTCCCCAAAGAGCTCTCTGTGCCTCTCCGCTCCAGGGCTTCTACCTTTAACTTTCCTGCTCCAGCTATCATTCCAGAGGATGCAAATTTGAAAAATCTGGGTCTGGCTCGTTCGGTTTTGCAATCATCAAAACTACCAACTGTTCCTCAGGCCTTCTGCTCCGGTAAAGACTTACAGCCTCAGAAACCCTCTACAGGGTCGCTATGGGTCGCAACTGCAGCAGCACATCACCACCACCACCACTACCATGAGCCGAACTGACTCCACTCCACAGCACAAAATCACCACCACAAAAGACAAATACTAATTATTCAGGCAATTATAAGTATTTAAGGGCACTATATAAGTAGGACAGGAGTTCTGGTGTGGCGCTGTGGGTTAATACACCAGACTGCAACTGCAAAGCCATTTGAACTGCAAGGTTGGCAGTTCAAGCTCACTAGCTGCTCCTCAGAAACCCTATACAGGGTCACTATGGGTCAGAACTGACTCAATGGCACTTAACAACAACAAAAGTAGGACAAAGAATGAACAAAATCATGGAGAAGTCAGATGTATGGCACTTCCTAGGACAAGTGTTATCTATAGATGGAATGCCCAATATGGTGTTTTGTTTTGTTTTGTTGGGGGTGTGGTTACAAAAGATGAAGATGGAAAGGTAATTGCCTATCTGTCAGGTCGCAAAGTGCCTATGTACACTATGTTATGGAGTTTGAATTCTCATGTTCGTTTTTTAAAAACCACTTTAAGTATTTCTCAAAGATTTCTAAAATGCTTCACTAATCCACAGGTCATTTACTCAACACCTCATCAGTGTCAAACACACAATCAGAAGTAAGAGCCTTTGGAGCGATTGATTACAGGCCCCAAGACCACATATCACAGTTACATACTTCGTAAAAGAGTTACCACATCTTCAATATCTACTTAATCTCATTTTAGCTCTAAATTCCTAGGGATCACTTTCTACCTGCAAAGGAAGAAGTCACATACAGATCCCATCTCTTCCTACTAGGCTTAAAGGTTCTTGTGAACACCCATTTCATTTTATTTCGCAACACAGGTAGCTCAAAGCCAAGCTTGGCACTGATAGTTGGTATTCAACAAATATTTGATAAATACATTAAGAAATTTTTCTTAAAAGCTCCAATCTTTAATGGTCT